AGCCTGGCAGCCCTCGCACCTGAGCCGGGAGACAGGACTCCCAGGGAAGGTAGCAACGCAGGGTCGCGTGGCCTGGTGCCCAAGGCCAGTTCCAGGCCAGCATCGGAGGAGCGCTCCAAAGCCTTGAAAGGAGCTCAAGGCCAGCTGGGATTCGAGCTCAGCTTTGGCGATGGTGGAGTTCAAGTAAGCTGAGAGGACAGGAACAGCACATTAGTCGAAGGGAAGGACGTGAGTAGAGACATCAGGGTGAGACAAAAATATGGCTTTGGATCAGGATCGGTTTCTGTGTGATCCTAGCAAGTTGCATAACCTCTCTGGACCTTGTTTCCTTATTTGTTATGTTACTACCTACTCAAAGAGGACTGTGCCGTAATGTGTAAAGTGTCTAGAACAGTGGCCGCACATGGCGGGTGCTCAATAAACAGTAATCAGGAGATTGTTACTGCAGCCATTTGAGGAGTGAGGACGGCTGGCTGAGCTGGCCTCGGTCCAAGGTCAGCCTTTCACTGTGTACTCACAGGCAGTGAGCGGCCAAGCAGCCCAGCCCCCAGCCTGTGTCCTACACCCTGCTGCACCCAGAACAGAGCCCCTCCTTGGAACACGCCCACAAGTACTTGGCAAGCGTGCTCTCCCCGGCCTGTCCCAGGCCTCACCCCTCTTCAGGGCTATACAACCAGGGGGTGGGGAGCTGCTGAGAATCAGAGGTATTGATTGCCTCACCCCGGCCGGGATCCTTAATCTCACACCTGGCCCAGCCTCCCACACATCCGCCCTCCACACCTGTATCTGGTGAACTTTATCAATTCCCGCCTTGCTCATGTCACTGCCCTCCTCAGGCACCTCTGCTGCCAAAGTTCTAGCCCTTGGATGCACAGTGGACACCTCTGGGGACCTCTGAAAACCCCAACGTCCACGCCACACCCAGACCAATTCTATCAGATTCTCTGGGAGGTAGGACCTCCTCCTACCCAACTCCCATCAGTAAATTTGAATACTCCTCCAGGGATTGCTAATGTGCAGACAAAGCCGGCCACTGCTACAGTGGCTCCCGACAGTGGGACTGGGATTGGACAGGGACTGAGTGGGGACTAGCCCACACAGTACAGGTGCGATCAGGAGCATCCCCAACCCCCTTGAAGCTTGTTAGAAATGCAGACTCAAAGGCCCCGCTGATGGGAGTCCTCATGTCACCAGATCCGCAGGTGATTCCCACACACTGTCAAGTTTGAGAAGCACTGAGCCCGGCTTTTACTAGATGCTCTCGGTGGGCCCAGTGCAGTGCCAGGTGTTTTACATATACCGTCCCATCTCATCCTCGAGCATTTCAGCTACTCACACCCCCTCTGACAAACAGGGAAGCACCTGCCAGTCACTTGATGCATGCTCACTGAGCACCTACTAAGTGGGAGGCTCGGTCCTAGAGACTGGGGATCACAAATGGAGCTCCCCTGGGATATGAGTGTCAGCATGAGCCCTTACAAGCTGTGTGTCCCTGGACGACTTCCTTGGCCTCTCTGAGCACCAGTTTCCTCTTTTGCAGATCTGGGCTAGTCATATGCACAGCGCTCATGATTCAGTGAACTTCTCTAGGCCAAGTGCTCTCCACTGGATCTAGCATGAGCTCACGAATGGTCAGGGGCTTGCTCACTTCTGGCCCTGTGGACCCCAGAGCCCTTTCCTTTTGAGATTAAAAAGAAACAACAAAACAAAACCGTGGCAGAGCCATTTACCACTCACTTGGTGCGCGCTCTATGGTTTCCCAATCCCCGGCAGCTGGCGGGGCCAGCAGTCCACTCCTGCCACGGCGGCCCAACCTAACACGCAGCAGCGTTAGGGACTTACTAGCTCACTAGTAACTAGTTTAGTGGCTCGGTTAGTGTAACCGAGGCTGGGAAAATGCTTTAAGAGGGAAAGCAGCACATTCTTCCAGATACATCTTGACGCGACAAGCATCGACTTGGAGGCTTTGGAAAGAGTCTTGCACCTTGGCTCTCCTCGCGGCCCGGTCAGCTGCGGTGCTGGGGCCTCTAGTGAAATTTCGCTGCCTGGACCGCACTTGGAACTTTGCTGTCGGCGGTGGGTGTCCTGGGCTGCTGGGTCAGGCAGTTTGCTGCCCTTCCTTTCCTTTCTGTGGTCTGCTTAAGGGAACACTCATTCGCCTTTCCTGAGCAGCCCAGAGGATTCGCTGGAGAGCGGAGGGGTCAAACATTCACTAGGAGGACCACGCCCCCCCATTCAGGCCTTCCTGCATCTGCTCAACACGAGGCAGGGCCTGCCAAGGGTGCAGGTTTTTATTTGTGGATATCTTTAAGCTTCTTCTCTTCTCCAGACTTGGGGGCAGTTTATTAATATGTACGAGGAGTGAGCAGAAATGGCTATTTCAACCCAGCTCTCGGTAGGGGTGTAACGGTTTTGCCATCTACGGGTAGCAGCAGGTCTTGGTTTCCCAGGTGCTCTCTCAGCCCCAAACGAAGGGCAGGTCCCTTCCCAAGCACGCCCATCGGCCCGCCCAGTGGGGGAAGTCTCGTGGGTGCCCCCGGAGAGCACAGCCCCGGCCGCCCGTTACAGAGACATTTACCAGAGGTGCGGAGCCCTCCTCCAAAGCCACTGTGGTTCCTGAGTCTTTAGGAAAATTAAAGGCAGCTATTTTTACTCTCGGGCTCTCAAGCCACTCTGATGCCCTCACTCTACACGCTAATCACGCAGCCTGAGAGGGGCCCTCACGCAGGCTGGCCTCGGTCCCGCTTTCAGTTTTCATTCCCCATCATTTCCTAACAGCTTCCGCCCACTCACTCGCTGTGTTAACTTCGGACTCCACAGGCTTTTCTCTCTTTCTTGCTCATCTCCTCCAGCTGCTGTAATTTGAAGCAGGAATCATACAGGCTGTTCTTTCAAGGGACTCTCTAATGTCTTGCATAACCACCCTTCAGAAAAAGACAGACATAGGAGAGCACACGTGTTCTAAGAAAAAACGGTGGGACTGTGAGAAGAAAAAGCCAATGTGGTTGGACCCACAGAATAACTCCTTCCAAGAAACCAGTCAGAGGGTGGATTGAGAGAGCTGCGCTCTTCCCATTAGTGGTAAATGTGATTTTGGTAAAAGATAGTCTTAATTACTGCCAGCAAATGACAGCCCTGCCGAGGTGGCAAGCCATCACTCGTATCCGTTCCCTCCCTGCGTTTGCAGGCAAGGAGGCTGCCTTGCTCTGTGGAGCAATTTTAAAACACTTATGAGTCGCTTCTTTTGCACTTCATCATAATCTCTGGATGTCAAGTGGACAACCAAGTATTACTCTCTTCCTCTCATGATAAAGGAAACCGAGGTAGCAGGATGAAGTCCGCTGCCTGCGCTCTGTCTCCCCAGCCATTCTGGTTGCCCTGTTACCCAGACTGACTGCTTCTCCTCTCTCCTCTCCCTGCTGGTGTGGATGAAGGGCAACAACCAGAAGGCTAGGACCAGAGAAAAGTCCTCACTAAGTGCCGCCGCATCTACATAGGCTATGACTGCCTTAGAAATAGTTAAATCAACCTAAGAGGCTCCTTATAAGACACACAGAAATATCCTTCCCGGTTGTGGGGAGAGAAATCAGGAAGGAAATAAAAGCTAAATGACATACCCTCCAAAACATAAAACCAGTTACACCCTTCATCTCAGATGAGAGGAAAGAGCTGTTTGCAGATGACTGCCTAGGAAAGGCCATTATTTCATTTAACCCCAAGTTATTCTCCTTTGGGGCTAATAACTCTTTGCTTGAGAATAGTCTTTTATAGGGGAATTACCGAATCCGTGCCAGCTGCAACCAGGTGATCATAAGAAAGGCAAAACCAATGCGGACTGGCAAAATGGTTCTTCCAGAGTCACCCGTAATAAGATAAAAACCCGATAGAGTACTGTAACATACCCATCTTAACAAAGCACTAGGAACCTACTTTGTAGTTAAAAAAATTTTTTAATATATTAATCTTACAGCTCACCTGTAACAGCTAGAGCTTACCAATGGTTACAGCTGAAAACTGTAGAGAACCAGTTCCAATTCTTTACTATACAGCTGAGAGGAGCGACACCTGGAGAGGGTCAGCAACTTACACAAAGTCATCTAGTTAATGAGTAATAGACGTGGCAGGTGCGCGCAGGTCTTTAGACCCCAGCACACCAGGCTATGATCGCAGCGATGCCATAAAAAATGTGGCTTATACAGACATGTCCACAAACAGGCCTCCTAGGTAAATGTTATCTTCACGTCCAGAAGTCACCCTGAGGGGCCAGGGGCCACACACTCAGTAACCGTGCTCGCCTCGGTCTCGCAGCGTCCACTTCATGCGCTCTCGCTTGTCCGGGCTGCAAAAGTGACTTAGCAAATGGCGTAGGGGAGAAATAATGCTGTAAGAATTAGACTCCGGCAACCCTGCAGGCCCTTAAGTGAAGATAAGCTTTGTATTTCTCCAAGGCCTTAAAAAATCCCAGGAGGGGCTGGCAGGGCGGGACAGGGTGGACACCACCCATCTCCCTGCTGAGACTTTGCAGGGGAACCCTGAGGAGGGGAAAAGCATCAGGAATCAACTCCGAGAAGTGTGGAGGAAGGCTGGGAGGGGCCCTTGCTGGGGACCCCTCTGTTGCAGAAAGAACTTCACTCAACATGGCTTTAGTTTACCCCAGTAGACAACTGTAGTAGTTCTGTCATTTAAACATTCTGTTTGTGAAAGTGTCAGATCAGATGGAAGAAATCATTGGGCTGTATTCGTCTCCTCCCAACCTACCCTATATAAACCTCCAAGAGTCTAGGGAACACTCTGTTGCTCATTTGTCTTAAGATTGCTGGCATTTCCTTTAACTTCACACTGGTTAAAGTCTGAAGGATGGATTTCTACAAGTTCAGTATCTAATCCCAACATGCTCCGAGATGACATGAGTACATATGTTTGAAAATTCAATCAATTCAAATATTTACTCTGGGTCTTACCTAGTATTTTAAGCAGTTACAAAGCAAAAAGCCAAATAGTTTTCAAGTAAGTCACTTTTATTTTTGTCTGACAATTCACAGTCAATTTCTACAAAACTTCATACTTCCTCAAAAGAATTCACATTTGGTAAATAAACCTCTACCCTAAAGAATTCATAGCTGGAAAAACACTTCAGTATATGCACAAGAGTTACTTTTCCGCTGAAGGAATCAGAGTAAAGTCAGACAATACTATGATCAATAAACAGCAATGAGAGTGTAATAAATTACAACGTCATTAAACTCCATTCCCATAACAAATTCAATCAGCAGCTTTTTCTAGATGTGTTTCAATATTGCCAACAAAATCTGCCAAAAGTTCTCTTAAGGACTGGTTTGAGCTAAGAAAGTCTTCTGTCAGCAAACAGTGGCTCTGCCACAGGACGTCATACCAGATCAAACCAGACGCCCCTAAGACCATTACTACTTACAGCTTTGTGCAACCAATGGAGGTCTTCCTGGTCAACTCCAAGGTTCCTCCATTTGCAGATCTGGCTCCCCGCCCCAAGTGTCTGCTAGTTTCAATGGGTTCTCCTTCCCAGATCTAGCTTCTCTAATTGGCTTCACTTGCCTTCAGCTCCCCTGGGGAAAGAACACCGATGCTAAGAGCCTAGAGGGATTCCAGCGCTAAGACTGGAGAAGAGCTGGGGGTGAGGCTGCCTCGTCCTGCCACTCCACAGTGAGGATCAACAATGGCTTTCATCATCTTTTTCTGTGACAGGTAGGGAAATGCAAACCTTAGTCTAGGAAGAAGAGTACCAGAGGCTTGTAGCTCCACAGAGGGTTTTTCCGATGGAATACATTTGGTTCTCAGCAACTATGCTCAGATTTTTGACACTAAGACTCACGACTCGTGCCTAGGCTGTTCTGAATGCACCTGTCTCTATCGTTTCGCTGCCAAACACATGCTACCAAAAAGGACGCCTCCTGCCATGGTGGGCAGAGCAGGGCTGCTGCAGTACCAGGGATGCCGGGGAGGCAAAAGGGGGCAGGTCAGGACAAAATTATTTGAAGGAGCTGGGTCTGCTTAAAGACACAGTTGCTCTGACTTTTTGAAACGCTTTCAGAAAGCAAATGGCAGGTAATAATTCTGCATTGATCAGGAGAGTATAGATTTTATCAAGTTGTTTACTTGTAAATCGGTCTTGTTTTATCTAACTCATGCATGTTTGAGAACAAAGTGTAGACAATGCAAAACCTAGTAACTTTTCAACTACGTTAGAGTCACCAATACCTAGCAAATATGAGCTTTAGCTTCTTTCTGGCCTTGGTAAAACTTCAAGAACATTTTCCTCGCAGAAAAGCTGGTCATCCAGAAGTTGTTACTTAGATTTTCAAGAAGATGAAATTTTTAAATGAGAAAAACTTTGAAACTTTGCTATTAGAAATCTAGTTTACCTTACCAATGAAGCTAAAAGAATGGGCATCACCTGTAAATTCTCATCACGCCCTCCATTCCCAGATGAACTTCATGTAAGTAACACTACACCTTTTGGTTTGCTGCCAACATCCAATGCGTGGAAGCACAGCAGACGCGACTCCCCAGCCAAGCCAGGTCACTGTGCGACACATGGGACACATGAAGACTTTGGAGGCAAAAAGAAGACTGATAAGGATGTTTCCCAATTTTGTGGGTGTAGAGCTCATAATCTCAGGATGATTTTAATCCTAAGTCTATCAAACTTAATAATCACTTGTTTCCTCTTTTAGAAAAACAAAAGAAAAAAGAAGTGGCAGCAGAGGGTTAACTTACACTAACTTACTCTCAGGAACCATGAAGCTATCCTTAAGATGTTCACACATAAGCCCTGGCCAGGTAGCTCAGCTGGTTAGAGCATCATCCCAACATACCAAGCTTGTGCGTTCAATCCCCAGTCAGGGCATATTCAAGAATCAACCAATGAAGGCATAAATAAGTGCAACAACAAACAGATGATTCTCTTAAATTAAAATTTTTTCACACATAAAGCCTGTTGCATTGTTTCAAAAGGAGAAAGAAAAAAGGCACAAATTACCAGAATCCTCTAGCTCCTGACCAGAGATACTGACGACGTCTTTCTCCAGGCTCTAAGTCTGAAAAGCAATTCATCCACTGTGATTCCAGGTGGTGCTGAATCCTTTCCATACTCTAAAAATCTGAAGTTATTTTGCCTACCAGTTTAAATGAAGGGAGACCAGGTTTGTGATGAAAGTGGAAGGGTGAAATGCAACTACGCTTTCCTCTTGACTTTCAGGTTTAAGAAAACAAAGCTTTAAGTGATTAAGTGCCTGCACCCGAGGCCCGACCTGTGCCCAAAGCATTTCAGGTTTCGTCCAAATGTCATGATGCCTTAGGAATGCAAACACGCCTCCTCTCACTTTTCTCTGACTTTTCTCTAAGACATTCAAGGGAAGATATGTGAAGGGATCCTTATGTCACCCACTCCTGGCTGGACAGGCACCACTCTGTACACTCATCCATGTCCCTGCACCTCTGATCACGGTTTGCGAGGGGGGTGGTGGGAGGTGACAGTCAGAAGAACCTCACACAGTCATCTCTCCTGCTTTGCCCCATGATCCACCCAAGTGCCTGCAGCCTAAGGAAAAGGGACTCAAGGACACCCCGAATCTGAGGCCCCCAGTGGAAGAGAGACATATGTAAACTGTGCACAGACCACAGGTTAAGACAGCAGCCAGGTCTTGGCAGGTGGCTTCATAAGTGAACCGCTGAACGATTTAGGTGTAGAAGGAAAAGCTCTTACATAAGCCTTGGGAAACAGGAGTAAGGTAACAGCAAAAGAGTTAAAAAGAGCCACTCAAGTAACAGGAAAATATGCCTTCTGTGCTACATGTCTGGGTGATCAGAGAATGCTTCTAGGTCACTGCCAGTATGACTAGACCCGGATGTTAAGGACGCCTGCAGCTTGGCCCAAGCCTGAGGAGCCCTGCTCTTGATGGCCTCTAGCAACAGCTGCGTCTGCTCCTTTAGTTGGTCTAGCTCCACCTGAGTTGCCTGGTTCTGACGAATCAACTCCTTGGTTTTCAAAGTGATCTCCAGCAAGCCGGACTTGTGCAGGACTACTAGGGTGTTCTGAAAGCGCCTGTGTTTGCTCTGTCGCTGCTCTGAGAAGATTTCTGGGCTGCGGCAGAGGTGCTCTGCGGCCCACAAAGGTGAGCTATAATTGGCTGACAGCGGTGAAAGCGGGGAGTTGCTCTCTAGCCCATGTGGAGTACTGTCTGATGCACAGACAGGACTGGCGGGGGAAGCAAAGGTCAGACTGGGAGCTTTAGCCACGTGGCTGCTGGACACCGGCTGAAGAGTCTGTGGACTTCCACCTGCCACTACGGAGGGCACACCCTGCAGAGCCGAGTCCTCCGCCAGCTTGGTGCCGGGGGGTGCTGCAGGCGGGGGGCTGGAGGACACGGCGCCAGTCTTGGTGGGCTCGCGGGCAGGCAGGCTCGGCCCCGGTCTCTCGGTACGGATTTTCTTCTGCACTCCACGTTCTCTTTCTTTGGGGCTGAGGGAGAGGCCCCTTTTGCCTGGATGTGGGGCGATTTTGGTGTAAGAATTCAGAATGGGCAAGTAGTTCCTGGAGTCCGACTTTTTCTCGCCAGCGTGACAGGGGCTGACAGGAGACGGTACGGGGGGGTGGAGGAACAAGAGCTGTGGCTGTGCCGAGATGACCTCGAAGGAGGGCTGGACGGTCCACGACTGGAGCTGGGGGGAGCTGCCGCCCTGAAAAGAGAGGAGCGGCACACTGCTCGTTACCTGCTGCAAGGGTGGGTGCTCCGAGCTTCGGTCACGGGGCCGAGCAGGGGGACTCCTAACAATGTCAAGTACAGAACTTCCCTCACATAAAGCGTGGCCCTTTCTCAAGAACATGATTGGAGAAGTGGCTTAAAATTCCATTTGGGCCCAATGTCATAATTTTTTTTTCCTTTTTTCCTTTTCCTAAGGGAAAACTAGAGGAAATACCTATTTTTATTCAAGTGCTATCACTCAAGAAAAGAAATTGTAGGTAGGTGAAGTAATGACATATTTAGGGTCACATCTGAGGAGATAAAAATATAAATAGTACAATTTCTTGGCATGCGTTAAAATGTGCTAATCTCAAGATTGTAAATGTGACTTTACACCAAAGTCTATCTTCATCTAGTTACATCTGAAACCTTTTACCTGAAGGCAACTTTTGATTAAAAAGTTACATATTGTCAGGAGTCCATGGGCCCTCTTTCTAAGGCAGTTACAAGCAACAATCATAAAACCACTCAAGATAGTAACAGTTATCATGTGCTGGTGCTTACTCCAGACTAGCACTGTGTGTAATGTTTTCCATGGGTTGTTTCTGTAACAACCCAATAAGGTAGTTACCATTTCCCTTCACAAATGGGAAACTGAGGTGCAGAAAGTTGAAATAACTTGCTTTAAGTGAACAAGATACTAAATGACAGAGATGGGATTCCATCCTCAGACTGACTTTGAAACCAGTCCTAACCATTCTGATATACTGCCTTTGTTACATTACTCCTTGATTACATATTTTTATTTTAATTAAAGTACTGATTCAGATGGAAATCTACTATAATAAAGAAGGGCATGGCTATCTATTTCCAGTATTTAAAAGCCAGCCCAGTTCCAACCTGGTCCCAAAGATCTGAGCGTCGAGGCCAGGCAGGGAGCTGGCCAGAGGGTCTTATCCTTGTTGGTTGGCCGTTTGATGTGTGACACATGCACACCATTTTGCAGTCATTTCAGCTTCTTTGATGTGTGACTACAAACTTTATGCTCATCTCCTGAGTAAAGGCTGGAGCGCCCTGGCGAGTCTATCCTGGAGCCCTCTTGGTATTCAGATGTGCTCTGGGATGCACACAAGCAAGCAACGCAAGGCCTAGCACCGCACTTCCTGGTCAGAGGAGATCCAAAGTCAGCAGTCTTTCCAAGTAGACATCATAGTCCAGCTCAGTCAGAAGCCAAACATCAGGCTACTCTCCTAGTCACTCATGCCTAAGGGTAGACCTACAAGGCAAATGAATCCAGAAAATGTCTAATTCGTGGCTTTCCTAAATTGATTTCACTGGGTTCTTCCTGATGTTGCTGTTATGCCCACTGCCGTGATACTTAGCTTACTTATTCTAATTAGTAGATTTTACAATGTATTACCTTTTTTTTTTTTTTTTAAGATTCCGTTTACTTATTCTTAGAGAGAGGGGAAAAGAGGGAGAATGGGAGGAGCGAAATATCCATGTGTGAGGGAAATATCGATTGGTTGCCTCTCGCGCGCCCCTAATCGTGGACCTGGCCTGCACCCCAGGCATGTGCCCTGACTGGGCATCATCCAGCAACCTTTCACTTTGCCAGACGATGCCCAACCTGCTGAGCCACATCAGCTAGGGCTACAGTGTGTTATTCATGCTGAAATCATCTGAGGGAATACAGGACAAGATTTTAGACGTGGCTACCATCTCAGAATCATTTCACATAAAGCCTTCATGTCTAAGATGAGGAAATTGAAGACCAGGGTGGTTAAGTCATTGTGTGCAAGATCACACAGTCAACTGGCAGAACTGGAATCAGACCCTCAAAAGAGGAATGTCTAAAACCAAGACATTACACGATAAACACAGATTTTTAAACGTATATCACTATTTCAATCTTGGAATGTGCTGGATTCTAGGATGTGTGGAAAAGAACAAGATGAAACTCCTGGATTATGCCATTAGGTCAGCCTGACCCCAAGCCTCCCATCTCCTGACGGGCCCAGCAGCCTTCCCCACAGGCCTTTGTGCTGGAGAATGCAGCTCTGCTGGAATAGCCTACTCACTCCCCAACTGTGGGCTGTTCTCAGCCCGCGGGAGCTGCCAGCCTCGCCTACAACAAAGAGGGCATATAAACACAGACACACAAGAAAGGCAACAAGGGAGCCAGAGAGGAAGAGCCAGGAGAAAGGAAGCCCTGAACGGCACCACAGAGCTGGTGGGGTGGACTAGCGAGGCTCATTTGGGCTCCATTATGTGTCTTTATTCTCTTTGTTCAGTAAGCAGAGCTGTTCTTCCCACTGAGATGTGATTTGCCAAGCAAAAAATTTTCAAATTCTTTTTGCCAAACTCACCAGGTTGCCTTGTTGGAAATCAGTTTGTGTTCCTCAGAAATAGCTGGGGAATAGTTAAGGCATTAAGGTGCCGTGTCAGGCTACAGGCATTATGTTCTTCTACCTAAGGCAGGAAGGTCAACAGTATAGAGCCGATTTCAAATGTCACTAGCTTCAGGCAGCCTCATCAATGAACCCATGTATCCAAGTGAGAACTGATATAATTTAGAGCAAAGGAGGTTAAGGTTAAATGTTCTTTAACCCAGTTCACATGATTAAGTTCTGTTTCAAATATGGGGGCTTAGATTTTCACCTAAACCTCCTATTCTTGCCTATCTGGATAATTATCATGTATTATGCATAGTTACGTAACAAAAGCCCAAAATGGTATTTTAAAGCTCCACAGCAATGCTACGTACGTAGATGCTGCTGGGATAGCCATACCTAAACCAAAGAGCTGCTTTTTCATGAATGACATGTCTTTGGCTGATTGCTAAGAAAATGCTTAGAATGTGACATGAGAGATACGGAAATTGCCTCTACTTCTCAAACAAATAAATATGTCCTACATTTCTAAATTCTCAGGGTGTTTCAAATTAAGAAGAGGTTCATTTGGTTTATACCCTTAATTCTGTCATTTATTAGACTGCACTATAAAAGTTACAACATTTCTGCTTGGTTCCTCTATACAAGACTAAAGAGTTCTGGTATTGCCCTGGCTGGTGCAGCTCAGTGGGTTGGAGTGTCATCTTCTAAACTGAAAGGTCACAGGTTTGATTCCTGGTCAGAGCACATGCCTAGGTTGCTGGTTCAGTCCCCAGATGGGGCACATATGGGAGGCAACTAATGGATATTTCTCTCACATCAATGTTTCTCTGTCTCTCTCTCTCTGTCTCTCTCTCTCTCATCAATGGCTATATCCTCGGGTGAGATTTATTAAAAAAAAACAAACAAACTTAATTCCAGTGTTCCTTTGAGTGAACTAGGGATACAAAAATAAAATAACCTTGCTGTCTGGAAAATGAGAACACATGTCATGATTCTTGCAGTCCTTTTTACAACACTGCCAGTGGTTGAAAGAAAATATCCTCTCCCCAGGACAGAGTGCGCCTCATTGTGGCTCTGATGGTCTGCTTCTAAAACCTCTGCACAGAGGAAGCTCGGGAACTTTAATCTGCAAAGCTGTCAGGAGATGCCATTCCCCCTCACCTGTTTCACCAGCACGTTCTTCATGACGACCATGGGGGACAGTGTAGGGAAGGCACTGCTTGCAGCCTTGGAGCTCTGCCTCGGCCGGCCTTGCCGGCTCCAGCCCAGGGCGCCCAGCATGTCCTCGGACTCCACCTGCTCGGCCGAGCTCAGACATTCCGAACTCCCATCTGGTGGGCAGAAAAATGGTCAGTTCACTCAGGCTCGGGACTCTTGGGCAGGCCTCCTGGGGAGTGGTGGGCGGCACCCCTTGAAACTGAAGGGAACATTTGTGAGATGGGTTTTTGTGAATTTTTCTGATGAGAGGGTCTTTAAGCTTTCATTGGATTCTCAGTGGGACCCATGATTATCACTTCCACCCCAAAACACTGACGGCCCTACGACTCCTTTCTAACTCTGTTACAGACACATGCCTGCATCCATTGGGCTCCTTTGAAAGTAATCACCACCAGTCTACAGAAGAAGTGGGAGAAAGCCTTCAAATTTAGTTCATTACTTTCAAAGAATGTGCTGCTAGAGGGGAGAGGAGTGTGTACATGACCTGGGGCAAGATTCAGGCCTTTAAGAGGCTCTGGACATCATAAGGTGTAACTATAATAATAAAAACAAAACCAATCTGTAAACCTCAAAACGTACATCCATGCTGAAATTAAAATAGCTTCTTTCTAAGTTTTCTAATCATAAATTCTGGATAAGTTCATCAAAGCCTTTGTTGTTCCCTCTACCCAGTTAGGCACCTCCTTTGCTGGTGCCTTAAATACCTGAGTGTGCTTCCTGGGGATCCTGCACTTTGGGTGACAGATACTCTCCAAGGCAAAGAAAATAAGATTGCCCTCCGTGTAATCCATCACAAACGACTTAGCTGTCTGCTGGAGCAAACCCAGAGACGGCAGTAGCCCTGCTCTGAGGCATCTGGGGAGACCCTAAATGCTCATCAAGACTCTCAGAATAATCGGGATGAGGCAGGACCCGAATGTGACTTCAATTTACATGAATACAACTGTCAACACTTGCATTTAAATCAGAATCTCCAATGACACTTTTTAGAAGTTACAGATTTTGGGGCTCTCCCCTCAATCTACTGAACTACCGAACTGGCTCATCTGGTACCCAGGCAGGTAGAGTTTCACAACTGGGCACCTCTAATTAAGAACCATTAGGCCAGAAACAAAGACCTCAGGAGCAGAGTGCATACCTGGTGCCTGGATCTTGGTTTCTAAATGCCATCCTGCATGAAAAAGAAACCAAGGCTCCTTGGATTCCAAGTCTTTGGCAGGGGAGGTACAAAGTGAGCCTGGACATCTTATTGCTCCAGAAAGCAAAACAAGTACTCAAACACAAATGGAGGCATGTCGAAAAGACACAGGAGCGAACTAGTAGGGACTCCCCCTGGCCAAATCGGGGACAGTTTGAGTACAAGAAAGAGCAACAATAATGAACAGACAAACTGAATTACAGGAGAATTCCATAAGCCACAGTGATATTCAAAAATGGGGTGCGGGAGGAGAAGCGCTTCTTTACAAAGGGTGTCAGCTCATAAAATGCACAAGGACTAACAGAATCAGATCGCCATTTTTAAACCACAAATGCAATGATTGATTTGGGTGAAGATCATCAATGGTCAAGAGTTTGTTGGGAAACAAGACAGTCACATGATCTCAAAATATCTCATAAATTGCTTATAATTACAAAGAGAAAAGGGTACTTTTACAACAAGAAATCTGGTATATGTTACCTTAACCAAGTGTAAACACTACCTTAACCAAGTGATCAACCAGAGCATCACCAAGAATAGGACACATTTAAGAGTTTCCTCGTGTGTGTAATGAGAAGGATATTAACAGAAAAAAATGTAGTCTGGTAAAAAAAAAAAAAAAAAAAAAAAAAAAGTCCTGTTTCTAGTAATGGGGAAGGTACCAGAAAAATCCAGAGTGTGAGACATTCTACAAAACAGGTGTAACTCATTCAAAGGTGTAAATGTCATAAAAAAGAAAAAAAAAAGGACAGAAAAAGAAAGACCAGAGAGCTGTTCTAAACTAAGTTAGACTAAAAAGACAGGACAACTAGATGAAATGTACAGTCTTCAATGGACTCTGGATAAACAACAGACAGACAAAATGACTTACAGCTATAAAGGACACTATTAGGACAATGGGAAAACTCTGAATGTGGACAGCAGCTAATCAATAATTGCAGATTACATCATACTCTCAGGTAACTGAACTAATACCTCAGGCGGTGAGGAAATCCCTGGCACCTGGCCCAGATGTGGCTGGAGGCATTTACCGAGGTTACTTTTTGGAGCCTAGCTAGTTTGATTAGTTTTAATAGTGCCTGTGTCTGAACAGCACAATACTCCTTAAAGCAATTCTACATGGAAAATAAGAAAGCTATCAGAAACACCATCTAGACTGTGGGACACACTATAAAACAACTGGCCTGAAACTGATGGAAAGATGAAAAATATCAATAGTACTGAGAAAAACAGGTGGTGGGATGATGAATAATGTTTATATTCTTCTTTGCATGTCTTTACATTTCTAAGCTTCTACAATTAGCATGTATTACCTTCATGATATGAAAAAACAGATGAAAACAAACATGACATTAGAAGAAAAAACAGAGGCACTAAGCCTGCAATGTTTCCCAAACCTATCTGATTACATGAATCGCCACTTACAAAAAATAAAACCCACCTCCTGGGCCCTCCCTGCAAGACCCTCAATATCACAATGTCCAGGAGAGGGGTCTGGTGAAAAGTATTTTTAACCAATGCCTCCAATGAGCCTTATGAGGAGGCAAGTTCGGGAAAGGGTGCAAAGCGACAGAGAAGAGAAACCCAAAGGGCTCCACACTGGCCCTCCCTTTTCAGGGCTGTTCCTATTTTAATCCCTTGGTGAGCTGGTGCTCTGTTCCCCTCTGTCTATTCGTCTATTTGCAATTGTCTGCCCACTGGGATAAAATATAATACACCAATCTAAGGATGAGGCAGACCCAGTATTCCTAACAGCTGTATTTCTCACCACAAGTTAAGGAATCAACAGGATAGACTGACTAGCTTCTGTGAGGCTGGAGGACACAAAGCTTCCTCTCGGAGAGGGCCCCTCTCAGGGTGGTAACCAGCCAAGGCCCCAACCTTTCTGCATCCCCTGGGCCAAAATGTTGACACTAGAGCCACAGTCTAGTGTCAAGCCACTACCCTCAGCCCTGGAAATTAAGAAGAGCCTCAGCACAGAATTAGACGATTCCCTGGGTGTGCAGCTAGCCCTTTCAGGTAAGATTTAAGCCTGGCTAGTAAGGAAAATTATTCTACTTTCTGGTCTCTAAGGATGCTCAAGTTTGGAATTGGGCCAGGAGGCTCACTGTCCAAATACAAAACACATGGCTACTGGGAGGGTAGGTTGTAGAGGGGAAGGGCTTTTAAGCACAGCAAAATTACTTAACAAAATAGTTATCTTAACAAATTATATCACTTTTGTTTAATTTGTTACATGGTAACAACATACAGTATTTTTTCCTGCAATGTAACTATTCCTATGAAAAGGGAGCTAAGACAGCAGCATTATGAGTACTAAATATTTTTTTTTCTAGTAACCATTTGCAACACTTAGAAATGTAAGATTTAAAACTGAAAGCCTGAGTTGAAAAAAAAGACATCAAATCATTCCTTCAGAACTAACCCCACGGGGACTCTGATTGGATACCCTCCCACATGGCACCAGAATTACTGTTTTAAGAGATCAGATATTTACTTATTCTATATGTGAAAACGTGCCATCCTTATCGCACAAATGAGTTAGAGGGAGGACCTTTTTCAGGCAAATCACTCATTACAATGTAGAAGGAAGAAGGTATTTTTAACCTGAGAATCCGGAGTCCTTGTCTGACTCGGCAGATGCCATGCCGAGCTGCCGAGCCACCTTCTTCATCTCTGCGCCTTTGCCTAGTTTGGCCGAGAGTCTTCTGGGGCTCTCTCTGGGTGGGTTTCTCCTCTCCATGACCTACTGGGCAGGAAGCAAACGCATCTGGATTGCCCTGTGGAAACCACAATTGCATAAGCGGTCATCCCTAGAGAGCCCAAACAGGTGATCAAAATGCTGAGTAGTTAGTTGCGAAGAATGCTGGCCTCACCCACTTCCTCTGTATTTTCTCAGGGGTCTCAACTGAAGAGGCTTCAAGTTTACTACACAGTAGAAGGGTTTCCACCCAAAAGGAGGTTCATTGTCCTCTCTCCCTGCCCTCAAATTCCATTACAAATTCAAGGCACACAAACCACGTTCAGTGGAGGCTTTGTAAACAGCTAACAAAGGCCCATTTGATTGGGCTTCTGGGCCAGTAACTCGCCCTGCTCCCTGAGGGAGGAGGGCAGAGGGAATGCCCGCCTGGGCTGAGGCCTGCTTTCCCAGGGTATGGGGGCCACCTCCCACGGTGTGGTTTCTCAAATTAACCTTTCATTTCTTTCGATGTTTCACTGAACAGAGTAAAACAGCTCCTTATACATGCATGCTGCCTTTTGGCTTAAAGAGCACTTTTATGCACAGATAAGGCCATATAGAATACTGCTTTGCTTCTATAAAAGCCTATAACCTTATGACTGTTAATGTTATTTGAAGCCCATGACATTATTGCTGTCAACGTTAGCTCACTGGAGCCTCGCTCCCTCCTCTGTTGCTACAGAGGAGGCTGAGGTTCAGAGGAGTTACATTCAGTCATTTAAAAATGTTTAAATGTACCAAGCGCCCACTATCAACCAGGCCTTGTGCTAGGACTAGGGATACAGGGTGAATTGAACAGACATGGTCTACCTTCCTGGAGCTTACACTCTTAGAGAGAGACAGACATTAATCAGGTAATCACAAAATTAATTACTATTTTGATAACAGCTATGAAGGGGAGAGGCTCATGGTGGGGAGCCGGGGACAGAGAAGTGATGAGTAGCTGGGATCAGGGGGATGAGGCAGTTACTGGGAGTTAGCAGAAGTTCAAAAGTCAGAGGAGGGGAGGGGCCTGGGTGGGGTGCGGAAGTGTGAAGGCCCTGAGGGAGAAAGAAGCCTGACATATTCAAAGAGCTGAAAAGCCAGGGAGGCCAGAGCCCAGGGCAGGGGTGGACGGCCCTGCACTCACACTAGAAGGGTTGGCGGGGCCTGACAGGCAGTGCCCTGTAACCTGTGCTGTGAAGACTTTGACTATGAACTTAAGAGCAATGGGAAGTCACAGAAGGATTTTAACCAGAAGAGTGAGACCGGGTCTGCATTTTTAAAGCATTTGGACGCTGGACTGAGACTAAAGCAGGGAGAGGCCAGGGTGGCAGCGAGATCACCTAGACACTGCCATGCTACTGCACAGCCCAGGTGACGTATGGTGGTGGCAGTGGACATGGAGAAAAGTGGGCAGACTGGAGACATTTAGGAAGCTGACTTGCTGGGGCGCAGTGACTGCATGTTGGGGGGTAGAGGGTAGTGCCAAGAAGAGCACAGAAGACGCACGGTGGGGTGGCCGCGCTAATTCAGCTCATGCCATGCAGAGAGAAGTGACTGTGGGTCATCCAAGTAGAGATACTCGGTAGGCTGTCACATGCGCCTGCTGGGAGCCTAGGAAGAAGCCTGCATTTGCCCCAGTGACACAGGGCTAGTCCCTAGCAGACCCAAAGCTCAGTGCAGAGACTTAGACAAATGGGCCCTTCAAAGGGCTGGCGGAGGCTGAAAATATTCCAGATATTTTAACAAAGCCATTTGAGGCCCTGAGAAAGGGCAACAAGATAAGAACACAAACAATACAACAGGGCTAAAGATAACAGGAGGCTGACAAGGAGAAAGACAATAATAATAAAACTGGGTAAGTGCTGGTCTGAATGTTTGTGTACCCCTCAAACCCCTATGTTGAAATCCTAAGCCCCAGTAGTAGGAGGTGGTGCCTTTGGGAGGTGCTTAAATCATGAGGGTGGAGCCCTCATTGGTAGGATTAGTGCCTTATAAAAGAGGCTCCAGAGAGGTCCCCAGCCCCTTCTGCCACGTGAGGATACAATGAGAAGTCCATGGCCCAGAAGAGGGCCCTCACTGTCCATGCGGGCCCTCTGATCTCAGACTTCCAGCCTCTAGAACCACTAGAAATAAATTCCTGTTGTTTATAAGCCACCCAGTCTGTGATATTTTGTTGTAGCAGCCCAAGTGGACTAAGGTGTAAGCAAAGCCTGGTGACATCTTAATTCATAATCCACTTGTAGCTCCATCCATTTGTCCCAAATGCAGAGAAACACGAGCCCCCTGCCAAACAGCATTCTGTCTGGAACATCCTGAAATGCCAAGTCTGAACATCTCTGCTAATACGGGATCTCATGAAGAACATCAACTACTCCAGAAGCGGAGGAGGGATTCAAAATAAAATAGAAGACAAGAATGCCTACGAGCGTCCCTGAGCAACCCTCTTGCTCATACTTCTGCATACTGTGTAAGTGGATTGAAGGGAACACACACTCATCTGAATGAGACTGAATTTTAAACACAATTCCAAGTAAAAATTATTTTATATCATATTGAACTCATTTAAGGGAACTGGTTTCCCATGTCAAACTAAGTATTCCTTGACATGTCAAAGGATTAGTCCTGTGTGCACAGAAGATAAACGACGGCACTGTCATGTCTTGTATAGCACTACACAAAAGCAACATCTCTCTGTTGGACGGCCAGGAAGTTCAACAGCATGGACAGTACAGCTCAAAAAACAGACTAACGTGTGAAAACGTATCTCTAATTAAGTCAGAATCCTTTTATGTGAAACCCAACAAATGCGCATGGTTTCATTTCCCTGAAATAATACTATTTAAAAATGAATAGGAGGCTTCTTCAAAATAGAAGATGCAGCTTAGGGATGGACAATCAAACTTATTCAGGTCTGACCCTGCTGTTGATTTAGATTAGGAAAGCAGCTCAGGTTAGTTGCCACTATTAAGAACTTGACAGCCCTGACCGGTATGGTGGGTTGGGCATCATACTGTAAACCGAACGGGCACTGGTTCGATTCCTGGTCAGGGCACATGCCTGGGTTGTGGGCCATGTCCCTGGTTGGGGGCATGCGAGAGGCCAATATTTCTCTCACACACTAATGTTGCTCTCCCTCTCCTCCTCCTCTCTCTCCCTTCCTCTCTTCCTAAAAATGAATAAATAAAAGAACTTGACAAAATTTCACATTACCTTACAAAATACAGATTACTTTACAGGTATTTTAGGTAAAGCATCCCAATTTAGTCTTCTACAATCCTTGTGATGACACAAGGTCTTGCTGCTGTTACTCAAGTGTAGTTAGTAAAGCTACAAAAGATATGCAGGAATTTATTCTGGCCCATCAAGAATATGCAGAATGATACTGACTATGGAATCAAAGTACTGAAACACTGACACACTGGTGAAAAGGAAAATAGATGCTAAAATTTTAGATCCTGGGGAATTGGCGGCAGTAAAAACCACACAGTCCACTTTAGAATAGTAAAGGAGCTACTCTGGATGTGAAGGTGACTAAAAATATGAAAGCCTCTGTCCTAAGTTCTCACTATGCAGCAGAACGCCTAATGCCCTGGGGCATCCAAAAAAGATGGAGAATGAAGGGCTAGCCCCCTCCCTGACCTCTCTGCTCTGAGAGGAGAGACACTTCCTTTCCAGAAGTGGCACTGAGGACCCCCGTTAGCCAGCGATCACCGACCCCTCACACACGGCGCCACAGGAGGGTCTCCACAGGACCGAAGCGGAGTAACGGCATCTACGCCTGCTGCTCTCCAACCCAGGGCCGCGCGAGTGGCAAAGTCTGAAAACCTCAGAATGTTTTCTTCCTCCTCAGTATTATTTTATGACAAAGACATATGGCAAAGATGCTCATAAGCTGGCTAGGGATTGAAAATGGGTTACCAAGCTGTGACCCGTGGTGCCATCTCTGCTTCCTGACACCAACTGGAAACCACAAGAACTGCCTTACAAACAGTCCAGACCCTCATGTGCCCAACTCTGCATTAAAAGGACTCCAACTTCAGCTCCCCAAACTGTCAGAATTGACTCTGATTGGGTCTCATAGTAAGTGCATAGGTAACATGGTGTCTGAAAGTTTACAGAGAGAACAGTACATGCTAAAACTTACAATGAAAGTGAATATAAATATAGAGGCTTATATAAACAGGTATGAGAGAAAAGTCTAACAAGCGCTCCACAGCACTTGGCTCCTCTATTTTTGCACTTCTAACACTCGAGTCTAATTATTTGTCTCCTCAACATCAACAGTTTTTTTTTTTTGGTGTGTGTTTGCAACCTCAGCCCCCAACAATATGTACAAGGTACTCAACAGAATAAATAATGAATTCCTACAGATCTCCCGTCCTGCTGAGCCTCGCTGACAGCCCTAGCAGCTCAGCCTCGCTGACAGCCCTAGCAGCTCAGCTGCCAGTGAAATACCTGAACAGCTTGAAGGTCAACATTCTGCATTTCCAAACACCGCCGTCACCTCAAGATCTAGCTCCCAGTTCTGGTCCCCTGTAGGAAGCAGATCTCTCATCTGTCCCTTACTCTCATGTGAAAACTCAGGGATAAATCCATCCACCAAATTAAAGGTTGGTTAATTCCAAAACAATCTCTATGATGATGTAGGCTTATGATAAAAAGGAGACCCAAGGTTTACAAGGAAAGGATCTGAAATGCTGCTCTCCGATCTCTCCTTTTATAGATACTTGGCAACTTTCCTGAGAGCTCAAGTTCCCTTTAAAATGTGTCACATGTATAACACGCGTGCACGGACAGAGTTGTGAGGAGAAGGCCCAAGCAGAGACTTACATACAATAAAACGACAAGGCCATAAAACATTAAGACCTCCCCGCCCAGAAAACCATGAGTAATCCCAGTTAGAATTATAAATACATTACTAGGTTTTCTCTGAAGTCATTTTCTCTTGGTCGGCATATTTGGAGATACCTACCATTCGGGGGAGATGTCTGTGTCTTATAACTGGGGAAACATCTGTGAACTATAACACAGGACACGGCCCATCCCACCCCATCTACCTAAATCTCTAATATTCATCTTCCCCTTCACCTCCACTTTCATTCTTCCACTTGTCTGCCAAAATTCATGTGAACGATCCCAAACCCCGATCCCCTACAATGGCCTGTTGGGCACCTGGTATGGCTCACTCCATTCTCCTCCCCTCAAACCCCGTGCTTCCAGGAGGGTCCACAGGGCCAGTGTGCACCCCGCCCCCTCCCACTGGCGTCAGCTGAGGCTGCATCAGCGCCAGGCACCCTTCAGGCGGGCGGGCCTGCCAGCCCGGCAGGGCAGAACTGGGCAGACCCTAGGACGGCGCTGTGGCTGGCGTGCCACCAGCCTCCCGGGGCGGACGCCCAGGCAGTGCGCACTGCCAGGACTTGGGCAACACGGAGAGCCCGAGTTCGGGCTGCACCCCGGGCCTGGATCCGAGCTTCCCTCAACCCACCCACTAACTCCTTACTTGGTACGTCTTCCCCACCTCCCCAACCCCTGGCAGCATGCCCGGCCGGCTGGCAACCCAGGGGAAGCAAACCAGCCAAGGGAGGGAGTGACAGGAGCTCTCTGGGAAAGACGGCACACCTGTGCCCCAGACCCAGAACGGGGAGCCAGCCCGAAACCCAGCCTGGAGCCCCAGGACCCTTACCGGGTTCCCAGCTCCGCCCCCACTCATCTGCCCACTCCCTGCCCCTCAGTTCACAACTTGGCAGGAGGCCTCCGGGCTCTCCCCCTGCCCGGAAGCCCAGCAGGCTGTTACCCCCAGGGCCAGACCAGGGCCAACCTGCCGTAACGCTCCTACCCCGCTGGCACCTCACACAAGCCCCCTCTCGGGACGCAGCCCCGTCCTCACCCGCGATTCCTTCCCCGACGCAGTCCCACCCCTCGCCGCCAAGCCGACCAACCAAATGGGAGAGGGACGGACAGCATCTGCTCCCACCATTTGGCTTTCTGTCCCCCAAAGGTCCCAGTTCCCCCTGTTGCCTACCTCGCGTCCCTTCCTCTTTCCCCTACTCCCACCTCCTTTCCCCACGCTCCTCGCCCTAGCCCTCTTCTTGTGCGCCCAGTCCTCCCTTCTCACCTAGGGCCGAGGTCGCCGCTCCACGACCAACCTGCACGTCAGGCGGCGCATGCGCCAGTCTAGCCCCGCCGCTCCATGACAACCCAGTAGTCGCCGAGGCTCCAGCAATTCCCCCCGCCTGCCGTCCCTTTCTCCTCCCTCCGCCTCCGCGTCGGCTTCCTCCAGCCACGTGACCCGGCTCGGATGATTCGGCACCAAGGAGATTGCTCGCTGTTCTCCTAGACGGGCCCTGGGAGGCGCACCCTGTTCCCGCCTCCGCCGGAACGCGAGCTCCGCACGCCTCTCAGCGAGCGAGGACGCCCCGAAGAGGCCGGCGCTCTCTCCGCGGAGGGCGGATGTCTCTATGGTTATTTCCCAGGCCCCGTCGCCATTTTGTACGGGAGAGGTTTAGCCTTGAGCAATTGGGGGAACGCTTTCGAGACGAGATTTGGAGAAAATTCTTGCAGATCTGACGGGAGGCATGATTCCTTTGTGGGAAGGGGTGGAGATTAGCTGGGGGGACCCGCTCTCGTTTCATACGCCACGATACCGTTAAGGCTGGGGACCAGGACTGATCATGCTGACTGGCACGCGAGCGCGTGGCAGCGGGGTCCGGCGTGGGAGGACAGGCGGACATCCTCGCTGACGCTTGATCTGAGGGAGGCGTGCCCTGACCGTCCCCCTCCCTTCGCCCTCGCCGCTCACGTTTTTGCCACGCCTGTCTAGACGATTGGTTTGCGTGCCCTCCTACTCCTCCAGACGAGGCAGAAACGCTATCAGTATTTTTGCTGGGTGATTTCATGTCATTAGATGTATGACTCATTTTGTCCCGTGGTGCTGCCCGAGATGCTGGGTTTTACACGGATACTGTTCTCGTGCTACTCTAGGTGAAGCGGCACAATAAAGACACCTGCAAACGCTAAAAAAGGGGCTGGGATCAGTTGAAGTGACGCTTTGAATCAGTGAGGGTTACTTCTTGGTTTAGAAAATATTCTTTTACTGGTGAGAAAGGGGCACAATTTAAAGAGGCTGCCGTAAAGGCAAGTTTTACAGCTGCCCTGTTCAGTAGGATAGCGCTAATCATTAAGAGGGTATTGAACTAATTAAAATGGGGAAAAAAATCAGCTTCTCAGATGTTCTAGCCACATCAAGTCCTCAATAACCACATGTAGCTAATGACTGCTTTATTGGACAGCCCAGGTTATATAGCACATTGCCAGCATCAGAGAAAGTTGTGTTGGACAGCGATGATCTGGATAATGAGGCAGGGGAACTGGCCCTATTTTGCAGGTAATCCAAGTCTAAGTGTCCCTAGGTCATAGTTAATTATGTCCTCTAGGCACAGATAATGCTAATACATTACTAGATATGTATGTATGTATCAGAATAAGCTCTACCAACATAATAATTGAAAGCCTACAGTATGTGAGGCTTTTGTTTAGGGGCTATAGGGAGTGCAAATGATAGTTAACAACTGTTAGGTAATTAAGAGCCAGGCAGCTTTACCTGTGTTCTTGTATGATGCCTGTACAAATATATGAGGTTGGTGCTATTATCATATTCAGATGAAGGCACTGAACTTTATGTCCATGAAATCACACCTACTAAGTCTGAGATCCTAACTTTTAAGCCATGTTGCCTTTTTTTTTTTTTTTTTTTTTTGAGGCAGAATAAAAGTCTTTGCCTTCAAATACCTTAGAGTGTGAGGGCTTTCTAGGTGGCAGCCAAGTAGGTGGAAGCTACTTCACTTACCTCCTCCCAGGACCAAACTGGAATTACAACTAAAATATAAAGCAATCAGCCTGAATAACCTGAATAGAGACCTTTTAACCAAGGATTTACAGAAGATGCCACATTGAGACAGAAAGGGCAGCGACGCGGAAAGGGCTGACCCCGCTCCCATCGGCCACTGCTGAGATTCCAGAGGGGTATCTCAGCTGCAAAGGTTCCTCTTGAGAAGAGTAGGGAGTCTCAACCCCAAGCCAGGCTCCCCAGTCCAGAGCACCAGAGCCAGGAAGAGGTGCCCACGCAACATCTGGCTGTGGAAATCAGCAGGGATTCTGTTTGCCAGAGAGAAGCAAGTCTGCTTGAGACACAGGAGCCCTCTTGAAGGGCCATCACACAAAATCTCTTGTACAGCCACTCACTCTGGGCTCCGGCAGAGGGACGGCAGAGCAGACTAGAAACACGTGAGGAGAGACGGGTTTGTGGCTCGGGAGACAGCTGAAGGGACAGCCGCCAGGGTCTCTCTGCTGAGTCACTCTCCCACATCTTTCCTGGGTAGAGCACTCCCCTCCATGTGCCATCAGTCTGGGGCAATGCAATAGCCCCGCTCTCTGGACTCCCTTTCACCCCTCCCTACAGAGCTTGTGCCCTGCTGAGGAGTCAGCTGCCTGGGCTGGGATGTGGAGGTTTGGGCAGACTCGGGGGGTGTCAGATACTGAGTGACATGGTTGTGGGGAGGAGGCCATTCCTCCCACTTTCCTGTGAACCTGACTGCTGCCTTCTGTTAATGGGAGATTTGCTAGCTCCACTCTCTGGGCTCCTGGGGGCCCCGCCCTCCTGACTCCTTGTGGCTCCACCCTGCCAAGCTCCGGGCAGAACCTGTGACTGAGTTGTGTGCCTCTGGGGCAGGGCCCCTCACCTTCCCCCGCAGCCTGACTGGCACCTTCACCTCATGGGAGATAAACTAGCTGCATCCCCCTGACTCTCAGTGACCCCATCCTGCTGAGATTCGGCTCCTGACAACCTGGGACAGTCTGAGTGGTGTAGCTCAAATATTTGATGGTGCAGAGCTCTCCCTTCCTAAGGCCAAATCTTGATCTGCTTTGGCCTAATAAACTCTGTTGGCCTCACCCTGATGACTCCTTGAGACCCCCTGCCCCATCACAAAGGTGAACAAACACCCAGCAGGTGGTAGCTAGACTTGGTATGCCCTAGGACATTTGCTGAGGCCTCAGACCCAGCACTGGCCCCAAATTTGAACCTGCATGCATCTGGTGAACACCACTCTCCCTGACCTGGTGACTCACTGAAAATATACCTTACACAACTCGAGTACAACCAGAGGCTCTTTCAGTGACTGAGCCCAACAGGCAGCCAGCAGGCAGAGATGGATCTCGGGGTGCCTTAGGATTTTAGCTGATGCGTCCCTGGGACTGGCGCTTGTAAAAGCCAGCCTTGGCCCACAGCTTGGTCCTTTCTGTACATACTCGGGCCCAGGAGAGGCAGCCACAAACTGGATTGCTTTGTAGCTCCAAACAGGTTGCCCAGGGCAAGTCACTGTTGGAATGTGACATTGGACTGCATCGCAGTTTCTCTCAAGAGGCTCCAGAACCAACACACCCTGTGGCCGGCTTCAGACATCATTAAAGCAGGGTCCAGTCAGCTTCAGATGTGGCATATCCAAAAGGAGATCTTGGCAGGCACCAAACCCTGCTGAGGTGAATTCGGCTTTGTGTGGTCAGCACCACCTGCCTAGCAGCTGATACACTGTGGGTGGGGTTGATCCTCACAGTCACAGGCCAATAGCAATCCAGACTCAGTTACAACAGGAGGGCCCGTGTAACCAACACAAGAGACATTCCTGGAGCATCCAGCTCAGGTGGTCGAGGAGACTGTGCCACTAGGTCACACAGGACCCCTACTACCTAAGGCCTCCCTACCAAGACTAGGAGTCATAGCAAATCTACCTAGTACATAGAAACAAACACAAAGAGGCAGCCAAAATGGGGAGACAAGGAAACATGCCCCAAATGAGAGAACAGGAGAAATCGCTAGAGAAGAGCTAGGTGAAAGGGAGATAAGCAATTTATTAGATACAGAGTTTTAAAAAATGGTTAAGTGATTATAAGGATGCTCATGGAACTTAGAACTACAACATCATGAAAAAGGACATTGAAACCGTAAAAAAAAAATCCCAGTCAAAAATGAAGAATGCAATATCCGAAATGAAGAGTACGCTAGAAGGAATAAACAGTAGGTTGGATGGAGCAGAGGACTGAATCAGTGATTTGAATCAGTGACAAGGTAGCAGAAAACGCCCAATCAGAGCAGCAAAAAATTTTTTAAAAGTGAGGATAACTTAAGGGACCTTTGGGACTACATGAAGCATAAAAATATCCACATCATCCACATCACAGGGGTACCAGATGGGCAAGAGAGAGCATGGGATCGAGAACCTATTTAAAGAAGTGATGACTAACAACTTCCCTAACCTGGTGAAAGGAAAAGACAAGTCCAAGAAGAAACAGGGAGAGTCCCAAAGGAGATGAACCCAGAGAAGTCCACACCAAGACACATCATAATTAAAGCAGCAAATACCTTAGAGTCTGATATAGGAAATAAAGACATACTATAACAAAAACTATGACAGATAATGTAACAAATGCCAGAGGATTCTGAACAAAATCTAATAAAATCTAGGGAGTGAAAAATAATCTTCAGCTTTTTTGTTGCTGAAAAAGGAAGAAACCAGGAAGTAAAGCTTTAAGCAGCACAGATGGAAGTTAGATTTACAGTAATGGAAGTGACTGAGAGTATAATGCATACCAGGCACAAGAGAGTAAATAAAATAAGCAAAAGCATGAGAATTGTTTTAGTCCTCCAAAGCAGCAACTAAGTCCAAGTCTCCTGATTTAGCCTATCTCATGAGCACACAGCGATGCTATATCAAGAACTTGAATTTCAAAGACAAGTTTGGTATTGGAACCAATTGAATCAGACCAATTTACTGATAGGCATGATTTTTATTGAACTATTGCATGGTTCTATATGATTGGGCATATAGAATAAGCAATTCATGAAAATGGATATGTTTATATAGCCAACCCAATGTAAAAAAAATTCTTCCTTTCTTAGCTAACTCACCAGGGTTTGAAATCAGCTTCTTTGTTGACAGTTTCCTGATGCCCTGAGTTCTTTAATTCTTGCTGTCACACTCTTGTTTAGGCTGAGGTTCCTATAATGGAGAGTGGGTTTCAAAGTATCATTTCTTCTTGCTATAGAATGCTTTCCAGTGTTAAGTCTTCAGTACCAGTAGTGGCTGAGACGCATTTTACCGCCACCACTGCCAGCAGGGGGAGATCTGCTCCCTTCAATGCCACATTTAGGGATTTG